GCTCATTCTGTCACCCCCCGAGTCTGCTCTCTAGTCTGCTCATCGGCTCCCACTCCTTGTCTCCTTTCCTGTTGTCATAGTGGAGACGTTTGCATCAGGAGCAGGTCCTCTACTGCCCAGGGCCACCCTTCCCAGGGATGTCGCCATTGTACTGATACTCCCTTTTTCCTGCATCATTGCTCTCTCAGATTCTCTTCCATGACTCCCATAACCATACGAGGCATAGTAATAGTCTCTGTCTTAAGAAAAAGGACTCCCTACAGTTTTGTACACCTTCTTAGAAAAGCGTAGTATTCCCTTTCTGTTCCCATAGCAAATCTACTTAAAATACTTACCTGTTTACTTTTTGAGTTTCTTTGGTGCATTCTTCCCTCCCTGCCTCCCGAATAAAGCAATTAACCTGATTACGATTGTGCCACATCCTGAGGCTGTTGATTTATTTATTTTCATTTTGTCCAGCTGTTCATGGAATTAAAAATATTCTTGGAGCACAGTTACCATGGCTTTGGTGACACCCAGCTTACTGTGTTTTCTCTGACAAACTGGACTCTCATTTCTCATTGCTTTGCTCATGAAATCTGGACTGGAGTGCAGGGATGTAGAAAGCTCACTAGAATGCAAACTACGGCTCACAGGAGCTTGGCGATGTGAAGGAGAGATATTAATATTCTGCTATTCTGGGAGGGAAGCAGGAACAAAGAGGGTAGGAATCAGATAGTCGCCAGAGTAGGAAACGCAGCAGATAGGTCTCTGTTTCTGCCGACTGCCTGGGAGACCATCAAGGCTCAGAGATTGTATGTTTCTGAGACTGGAGCTCTTCCACAGTGTGCTGGAGTGACTGGGGTTCAGGTAGACTGTTTAGGAGTTTCTTTGCATAATTTAAAAACTCAAATCAAAGTGACCCATGATTTGTTGGTAGAAAAAGAAAGAGTAAGGTGCAAATTCCCTACAGTGAGTGTTATCATTATGTGTGCCTACAAGGTACCAATGAATGTTTTGCTATTAAAAAAAACTCATCATGCATGCCTTTATGGGATATATTAATTACTTCTTGCTATGTAACAACTAATTCCTGAATTTAGCAGCTTTAAAAAAAGTTTCTTGGCCCGCATGGTTTTTAGAGGCAGGGAATCTGGAAGTGGCTCCACTGGGTGGTTCTGGCTGCATCTCTCATGAGGCTGTGTCATCAGCAGTTTCCACGAGACAGGCAGAGGCTGTGACACAGCCTCGGGAAATGGACACTGACAGGGAGGGAGGAAGTGAATTTGGGTCAGCTCTCCTGATCCTGTGGAGAAACCAGCATGCTCCTTCTGAAGAGCGCGCTGTGGTACTAAAACAGCGAGTGTAGGGCACCAGCCAGACAGTTCTGCGGCCATCCTGTGGTAACACAGTTCTAAGCCTTGTGAGACAAAGTCCTTAAAGGTACTCAGTGAAGCATTTAGCGCCGACTGAAACACCTGGACTACATGTTTCTGAGCCGACACTGGGTGTGCTAATAGTTCTTGAGAAAGCCCAGGTACGTGCTGCTTGCTGCCGCCCACCTCTGTCTAGTTTAGCATATAAGCCCTTGCTTTTACCTTGGAGTGCAGCAACCCACCTGTCTTTCTGCCATTCGGAACCTTCTGTCTCTAAGTCCCCAGTAAATGTCACTCTTTGAAGTCTTGGATCGGTAGTCCTCATTGGCTTATCTCAGCTCCTCCTCCCTGGGTGGCTGGCTTTCCTCTGCTGGAACCAGGTCTTTCCCAAACAGTGGGAAATCCTTCTCACTCCTGCGAGAAATGCACACGCTGAAGGCTCTGTGAGAAGTTCCGAGCCAAAGGACTCACTGGACTCAGTGAGTTTGGCATTTCCCATTTTCATGGAGAAGCCTCTTTAATTGGCCAGTGTTCAGACATCTCCTGCTTGCTACCCAGGTATCCCTTTCTAAAACCTGGATTTGGTTACATCGCTTCATTAATGACAGCTGTGGTGTCTCACATGAAGATTTGGGAAGCATTAGAACTTTAAATTTATCCTTTTAAACCTCTTTCATTTTGTGATTTTCAAATGTAAATAACCCATTAGCACAGTAAATCCGATATACATGGGGGGAGAGAGAGAGGGACACAGAGAGAGAGGAGCACACACACAGCACTTTTTTTTTTTTTTTTTTAGTTGATGGACTCCACTAGCAAGCAGAAGAGTTTATCTCTCTGAGTTTTGAGGACCCACCTCAAAGTGGCCCTTGGTGGTGGGGTTTTACTTTGTCTGGTGGTCGCTGCTCAGGTTTAGCACTTGTCTGAAACGATACCACAATCTTGTATCTGTTGTTCCAAACCCCAAAGCTCTCAAAATGCAAAGTTCTAAAAGCTTACCTGGGTGAGAAAGCAGATCTGAACTTACATGAGGTTGGTCATGTTTCTGTGTCTACTCAGAGATTTTGCTTCAAGCTATTAAGGGCTGGAGTACAGGGCAGCACCCCAAACCCTGCTTGGTGTATGTGTACTGTATTGCCTTTCAAAATGTGAAAAATGTATGGTTCCAGAATAAATCAATCTGGCCTCAAGTACTTAGGATCAAGAGTGTGCACTGTTTTCTGCTTGATGATTATTAGTCCTCCCGAATGTATTGTACCATTCGTTTGATGGCAGCTCTGTGAGAAGAGGCAGTGCAGATTCAGAGCCTGTCTGACTTCCTGGGGTCCATCCTGGGCACAGGCAGAGCCGGCACTGAGCTTTTGCTGTGATTGTTCCACTGTGTGTGTCCCAGACCTGGACTAGCGCACCTGGCTCATAGACTGTGAACCCCTGAAAAACGCAGGGTGTGTCTTGTTCCCGAGACTGAGTGCACGGCAGGCACGGTCTCTCCTAGTCATTCTTATATGAAAGAATTGATATCACAACAAAATTTCAAAACTTTAAAATGTCACCAAGGGCTTTGCTTGCAGATGGGCTGCTGCAGCTCATTGTCCAGGAGCAAGTCAGCCACCTGCCCCGCTGTGCTTTGGTTTCTTATCTGTGCTAGGAGGACCTACAGCTCCTGCAAAGGGCAAATACAACAACTGAAAATATATATAAAATACACTTAAGCATTCCAGAAATGGATTTCATCCAAGGCAAGTCCCCGCTTGATAAATTCAGCAGATAAAGAATGAGTGTCTTCAGAGGCAGACTGAGGTCTGGAACACTTCTCCTGCAGGAGTCTCTGTTCCGTGGCAGCGAGTGTGTTCACTTTTCCAGGCAACCCTGCTTGTTTGCTGAGCATTGCCTGACTCGGCATGTTCACGAGACTCAGGTCTTATTCTTTAGCATGTTGCAGTGAGGAGGTATCTATTGCTCCTTGTCTCCCGCACTCTCCCATGATGTCTCTCCCCTGGCTTCTCAGCCCTCTTCCAGGTGATTGCTCGATCTTGAGGAGAAATGTAAGAAGGAGGGAAAGGCAAGGCAGGAGAGAAAGCAAAGCTGAGAAGGCAGGGGCTTAGGGTGACAGCAGCTCCGTGGCAGGCATGGTGCTGTTCAGTATTTATCATCTATGTGCTTATAGCCCGTGTGCCCCAAAGACCTGGACATGTGCAGGCCTCTCACCCAGGAGGACACAACCTCCTGCACGGTCCCACATGGGCCAGGTGTACGTGTGGCCGTTGTTTTTATTACAATCATAACCAGCCCTCATTTCTCCTATTCTGTTAGTAACCAGCACTTCATTCAACCCAGAATGTGGGGAATTACAGAATTTCGAGAGGTGAATTTCTTCATCCATGTCTGGTGTGAGAGCCATTTCCCCATTTCCCGACTGTCATCAGCGTCACCTGAACAAGGCCCTCCTTGCCCCGCCCCCTCTGGAGCGTCTGTGTGCAGATCATCGGCTCTCCCTTGTCTCCTGCTGGCCCATCTCCCTGCCTCCTGTGTCCTTCTCACTCCGTGACACAGTACAAAAAGGGAACAGAAAGAAAAAGGGCGGGGGAGTATAAGGGAGGAAACCCAGGCCGCTGTGACTCCCCAAGGATTTTTGTCAAGGCTGAAAGTGTCACAGTGAACCAGATAGAAGTGGAAATCGGTGCCTGAAAGCAGGAACGTATGTTTTACTTTAGACAAGGAAAACATGCTGGAATGCTTTTCTTCTATTTTATTGCTTCCTTCTCTTTGTTTTTAGGTGGAGGCAACACAAGATAACCAGTCTGAAGTCCACTCGCTCCTCACTTCTCTGTACACTATCTTACATTTATGAGGGCTGAAAAATTTAGAATTCCTAAACAATTCTTGCCCCGAGGATTTAGGATGAGTTCCGTTCCACCTCAAGGAGGAAGGGTCACTTCCCTCACTGCTGCTCTTCCTGCTCAGGCTGGCCCCCCTCCTGACTTGATGATTCCAGGGCTCTCCTCCCAGGAGCCCCTTCCACCCTTGCTGGCCTCCAGTGTGTTCTGAGCACTGGAGTCAGAGTGACACAGTCCAGTCCAGCCCTCTCGTGCTCAGAAAACTCTGGTGGGGAAGAGCCGTGGGCTCTGAGGCCTGCGGAGGCCTTCGTAACCTGCCCTGGCCTCTGATGCAGGTGCCGCTGTCTTCCTCGCTGCCCCTGAGCAAGCCGTGGAGGTACACGGCACACCTGCCTTGGGGCCTTCCTCTCCGCCCTCCCTTCTGCCGGTTAATCTCTTCTTCCAGATAACTTCAGCCTAGCACCTTCACGTAGGTTTCCTTAGTTAGGTTTTCCCAGCCCATATCCCTGCTTCTTCTCACCACATGCCGATTCACTTAAACATGTCTCTGGCCTCTGCTCTCACATCTCTGCCCCATAAGATCTTTTAGAGGTAATCTCATCCAAGTTTAAGATCAGCACTGAAGTAGGAATACTGAAGTTTAGGAGCTTGTATGTGAAGGAAAAAGTAAAACGAATACATACCTGTGTGGATTTGTGAGTATGTCTCCATGCATATACATACGTATTTGTTGTTTCAGAAGCCAGCTCTGGGATCTTTCTCGATTACTCTCTGTCCTGTCTGTAATCACTGTTCCCTCATCCCACAGGGCGGGCTCAGCGCCCAAGCTTTTGTCCGCGTGGACCTGGAGGATGTGAATGATAATCATCCGGTGTTTAACCCGTCAACCTACGTGACAAGCATCAGCAGCCAGACCCAGCCGGGTGCTGAGATCATCAAGGTTCTGGCCACTGACAGAGATGCCGGGGTGTACGGGACAGTGGCTTACGCGCTCACCCCGGGACATCTGGCACCCGCATTTGCCATCGACCCCACCACAGGTATGGGGGGGGGGGCTTTCGTCCTCCAGCTGTTCAGCTTCCACTGAGCAGAAGAACAAGTGATTTGTCTTCACTAGCAGGCCTGGTGCAGGGCTCACGTGTGGAAAGGGCCGGGGCTTTGCCCTTAGGTAACACCTGGCTCTGAGCTCCAGCTTAGCTGGCGATTGATCTTGAGATTTTCATTGGCCTAAGTTTCCTTATGTGGAAAGTAGTGCTAGTAACACCTATGTTGCAAGGCTGTTGTGAGGACTAAAAGCTATTGAGTGTGCAGAAGCCGTTGGTGATGATATTTATTGGCTAATTTTTACTTTCCCTTCGTACCATTGAAGGGTGAATTAGCATCATTTCAGTCTGAATCAGCGTTGTGAATGCAGGGAACCTGAGCAGCTGTCTTTCTTTGTTCTGGGGCCAGCAGCCTCTTAGACCTCTCTGTCTAAATCTCCTTGTTTTTAAAATGATACCTATAGCTCCTTTCATTTCTCTAACATGGGAATTACACATCTGCCAAAGTAGTTCAGTTAAGCCTTTAATAGGTGACTTTCCCTTTCCTATTGGTTTGTTTCTGACGAGATGTTTTATTACAAGAAAACATAAAATTTCAAGTATCATATACAACATTATAACATAATAATTTTGAGATACCGTGGTCCAAAATTGAAGATGCAAGAGAAGACCGAAACATTTTTTTTCTTTTACATTTCCTCATTCAATCTGAGAAGCAGGTAGAATGTGTTTCTGTGGTAACACATTGGTGATGGGCATTGCCAGGGACGACAGTGGAAGTTTTCTGTACATTGTTGTATTGTATCTTCTCAATTGCCTCATGCATAATGTACACAGAAATGTACTTTACTGAGTTTGTCTGCCCTGTCCCTCAGCGTCACTGTGCAGGTCATTGCTCCTGTCTGGAAAGTGTGTGTCCAGCTTGGATAACTGGCTGGGAGGTTGTTTGTTTACAGTGGCTGCCTTTATGAGGCAGCCTTTCCTTGCTCAAAATAACCCACTGACGTGGCCCCTTTAACATTTCAAAGATCAGAAGAAAATAGTTTTGTAGGAAGTTAGTCTACTTATCTTGGCTTTTTAAAAATTCATCTTAACCGAGAACCTTAAGTGCCTGGCAAGCCATCAGGCCCTGTAGGGCACTAGCATTGCCAAAATATATACAGGTCAGCCAATAATCAGGGCAGAGGATCTGAAAGCATAGAGCAGATTGTTTCATCAAGACATTGCACAGTCGTCATTCAGCTTCTCCTGGAAGAGAGTGAGGTAAACATTGAGATGAGATCTCTGTCTCCATGCTGGCCATGGTCAGCCCCAGGCTTCCTGGCAGCAGCTGCAAGACAAATGCCATTGTTAATCATGGAGAACATTTTATGTGAGTCATTATCTAGGGAAGCATTGTAGTAATTTTTTTTTTTAAAGCAAAAGCCGAATTCGTAATGGAAGTGGCCTTGGGTTACTATTGTTGGCAATTTTAATGCTCGTGAATTTAGTTGGAAGACATTTCTCAGCAAACAGTGCTTGGAATTTGTTTGCACTGAATCACAACTTATGAGAGATTCATGAGGCCCGAGAGTGCTTTACTCTAACCTTTAGAGGAGAGAAAAACAGTGTCATGACCGGCTACGGGGAAAAAGTGGCTCAGGGAACAGCCAGCCTCTAAGCTAAACTGTTGAACTCCAAAAGTTCATCTGCTGGAACCCAGCACACCTTGTATCTATTTATGGTGTACCAGGTGATGTTTTGATACATTGATACATTGTGAAATGATCAAATCAAGTAATTGACGTCCATCCTCTCATACTTGATATTTTTTTGCAGTGGACATTTTTTGCAGAGTACATTTATAATTTCTTATAAATTTATAATTTACTTTCTTAACAATTTTCAGGGATAGATCATTATTAATCATAGTCACCATACTGTAGAAAGATCTTGAGACCTTATTCATCCTGTCTAGCTTAAACTTTATACTGCTTGAGCATCTTCTCTTGTTTCTCCCAAACCTTGTTGCTGGCAACCACTTTTCTACTGTCAGCTTCTACAAAATTGACATTTTTAATTCCACATGGAGGTGAGATGGTGCAGAATTTGCCTGTCTGTGCCTGGCTTATTTCATTTAGCATAATGTCCACCAGGTCCATCTATGTTGATGCAAATGATAGAATGTCTCTTTATACGGCTGAATAATATTCTGTTGTGTATATATGCCACATTTTCTTTAGCCATGCATCCACTGATAGACACTTTGGCTGATTTCATATCTTAGCTGTTGTGTATAATGCTGCCATGAACACAGAAGTGAGCCATGGCTTTGACATACTGATTTCATTTCCTTTGGATATATAACCAGAAGTGGGGTTGGCATTTTTAACTTTTTAAGGAAATGCCATGCTGTTTACTATAATGACTGTGTCACATTTTCTATATAAGGTTGTCCTCAAAGAATAGAACACAAACATTATGGAATATGATTATCTCCTTCTGGGTCTGTTTTTGCTTTGTTTTGTTTAATAACCTACATAAAGCTGAGCTTTCCTAGCTCACCACAAGGCCTGTCTCTACCAAGCCCGCCAGTATAAACAGTCCTAATAAGCTGTCTTTATGAATAAATGTTTGTGAAATAAGTAACATCTAGAAACAGTTGGAAGGTGGTTTCAATCTTACTACAGCCTCCTAAGAAATTGCTTGGGAGTTTCGGTGATAACTTGCAGCCAAACTGAATAAAGCACAGCATGCTGGGTGACCCTATGGCTTCCTCCCACTTCTCAAAACTCTCCTGAGCTCTCTGTAGCTAACCTGTGCAGACACACTTTTTCTTCCCCTGTACTAAAGATTGAACCCAGGGAACACTGAACAACTCTGCCAGTCCTTTAATGCATGTTTATCTTCAGACAGGATCTCTCTGAGTTGTCCAGGCTGTCCTTGAACTTGTGATCCTCCTGCCTCAGCCTTCCAGTAGCTGGATTACAGGTGTGCATCACCACATTCAGGCTCCTTTTTTTCCCTTGTCTCTGGATTTATTCTTTTCTTTTCCAGAATAATGCCCTGACTTTTACAATGGAAGTTTTTCAAGCTAGGTCAGTACCTTTCAAGTATCCCTCTCCATTTAAACCTAAGTTCTGACATAGATGGGTAGAAGAAAAACAGTTATATAGTATAAGAATATTGAGAATTGAGCCCATTTATACATTGTCCTTTTCTTTTTTTCTGTACCGGACACTGAACTCAGCACCTTGTGCTTGCCAGGCAGGTGTGGCACCACTGAGCTACATTCCTGGGCCTCTATTTATATATTATAGTTCCTCCTGAATTACTTTAAAAATTTTCATTTGCTCACAGGTTCATTCATGCTTTCATTTCCACACTTTCTGTGCCTGACATGCTGTTTTAAAGGCTTACATGACGAGTACAGGCTCATGTGTTCCTGAAGACCAGGGTTTGCTCACTCATCTATCTGTGCCACCACTGGACCAATGCGTTAAAAATAGAGCTCTTTGATTTACTGTGTTCATCGGGTAAGAAAACTGTTTTGGAGAAAGCTAGAAGGGGGTGTGGCCATGTCATGGTTCTTTTCTCTTGTGGGTTTATCTTCCTGTTCTGTTTCTGGTTTTCTAAGTTTATTGTTTATTCAAAAGAACATTTTTGTGAGATGCGTTTCGGCACCAGGAGAGAAATACTGAACAATCCTTCATGCTCCTGCCTGAGTCTGCGGGCTTGCTTTGATGTGGGTGGGAGGCAGACCATACTGTTTTGAGTTTTAAAAGGAAGAAACACAGAGACATGTTTATTAATAGCTCTTTTCTCTGTATTTTTTTATCCCACTTTATAAATTACATCTAAATTTTTCCTCCAGTTTTTGAAGTACTCTAGTAGCATAAAAAGAGCAATTCTTTAGTTTTTGAGTTTATTTGTTTAGTAATTTTAAAACTAAGGAGAAATGTTACTTCTGATTAATTCAGATGAAGGTGACAAGTAGATTCGAAGCATTTGGGTTGGCCGTTTACTGTTGCTCAAAACGACTCCATTTATTAGGGCTACCTTTGGCTAAATTATTGTGGTTTACCAGTTTTCACACAAGCAAGGCAATGATAGAAAACAAGTCAATAAAAATTCTAAAAGAATGTAACTTGTCTGTTCTCAGCAGAAAAATGAAAGGAAGGAAGACCTTCTGTGTGAGAAACACGTTTATACAGTGCTTACTGGGGACCAGGCACAGTCTAGGCACTGGGGATGCGTCCATCCGCGCACAACACAGGCACAGATCCCTGTTGCGTGGCATTTACAAGGAGCGCGTGACCCTTGGGTGCCTGTCCTGCGTGTGGTTGTGGTGCTCACCAAAGCCAAGTTCAGCACCACAGAGAGCAAGTCGTTAAGAGAGGAAGGGGCTGTCAGGCGAGGACGGCTGCACCTTGTGTTCAGTTGCAATCTTGTTGGTGTGGGTTGTGTGGATTCTAACGTGGACTATTGGTAATGTAACACAGACTCTGTTTTTCCTGATTTCAAGGGCAGATTCTTTCCTTATGCTCAGATTTCACACCATGTAATGATTCTCATAATTCCCCATGATTGCCTCTCTCCTACATTTACCATTCACCCTTATGTTATGTGGTTAATAAATTAATACCACACCCCGATTATAAGGGATATGAGTGTGCCTCTGCCAAGTGAATGATGACTTTCTCTCATTTTTAGGACAGATTCTAAAATTACTCACGCGCACCTAAGGATTATATGTCACTTGCATAGGAAATAAAAGCATGTTTTGAGAGTTTTCTTATGAGCATTTTCAGTACAAGAGCTCAGGCTCATGAAGACGGGAAGGACTTTACAAATCAGTGGCCTTGTATCATGGAGAGAGAAATCGAGCCTGAAAGGGGGTGTTGCCTTCCGGAAGGTGCACTGATGGTAATGGCAGAAGTGGACCTGAACCCCGTCCTAGTCCTGTTATCTCTCTCTCCTGCTGTGTCTCATGCAATAATACTTTCAGCATCTTTTCC